TCCGAATAAAATTACACCGTATACCCCAAAACGCTATTCTAATTTTTACTCGTAAGGCTTCTATATAGTATGCTCGCCTCTGGACGCGGTGCTGCAAGAGGAAGCGGTGGCGGATGTCAGAGTGCAACAGCCCCACCTGCAGCCGTGGCTCAAGGGGCGGAGCATAAGCTATACTTCTTTTAACACCGAACACACTTTAGCCTTGCCTGGTCCGTTTCCAGCAGAGCCAAGCTGTGCCTCGTTCGCATGGATGTTTAGGATTGTTTACATGCTCACTCTGAGACGGCATGAGATCGCTGAGCATCGCTGAGCTGCTGGTGATGCCGGAGGTAGATGTCCCAGTAATTGGTCGGATCGCATCCCAAGGCCTCGGCAGCGCACAGGAAGTTTCTTAAAACCAGGGCTCCACTGCATACACTCCCTACGACCCCAAGCAAGGCACGTTGCACACGCCGCGCCAGTTCATCTGCAACTTCCGGATGGTCTCGTCCATTGAACTGTTCCTCGGTCGGGGATGCCGTTCGGAAGATCTCACATCTAAGCCGAGGCCTCTAAATCCCCATGTCAAACTCTGCCAAGGCCGTCCCAAACGCATGATGTGGGAGTCCAGCACCTGCATCTCGCAACTCGAGGGCTTTGTACTAAGCTTACTGACACCGAACCGTGGGGAAAGCGTGCCTCCTCGGGGCATCTGGACTCCGGACTACAGGCCCTAATTTAAACCCCAAACCCCGCACTTCAAAACCCAAAGCTTTCAAGCCTTGCTACATGTGTGCCTCGTGGCTCGCACGCATGGCGCTGTGCAGCGCTGCAGACATCGCCAACGTTCCCGCCTGCCGGGATCTTGGCCACTATTTTCCGGAATAGCCCGGCGGTGGGTGCCTAACAAAAATGTAGTTGAATAATACCTGACATCATATGACCCACGTTGAGCCCTGTACAACCTTTAGGTGGTGGGATCTCTGAAAGGCCTTCAATTCCAGAAGGGGGGCATGGGGCGCGGCAGCCAGGACTATGAGTCAGCGCTGATCGTGCTGTTGTATGGGACCGCAAAACGCATGGTACAGCCTATTCAGTGCCCCCTCCTTTCCTCCTCGAAGGACAAGCCAGGCCAGGACAGAGGATTATGATGCGTAGGCAGTGAAGGACCAGAAAATCCCTCCGAGCAGCCTTTACCAGGATCTTGTAGGAGGCTTAAGACCGGTCATGCGGGGTCGAAGACCACCCAGGAGCCCCGACTCAAAAGACAATGATAACCCCAGACATGTTTGGGAGTACTGTCCGATGACCTAAGCGGGAGGGGCGGGAGGGGGGAGGGAGGGTGGGGAGGGGCTGGGGGGGGGGGGGGGGGGGAAGGGGGAATTAGCTTTGAGGCTTCTGGCAGAAAATTCCAGCTGGAAAAAAAATGGAAACTCCAGGAGTTTCCCGTTTTCTTTTGCATCAGTAGAAGTGAGTGCAACAATCATCCACTCTCCGCGGTGTCCTTCAGCGCTTCGCCAGCTGAGGAAGAAAGCCTGGGCTGGCCAGACCACGAGCAAAACATCTGCACTCTCTACCATCACAAATGCTCCAGGTCACACGTAGGCTATGGGGACTCATATACATATACATAGTTACATATACATATAACGCAATGGAGAGAGAAAGAGAGCAGGATGCACACTCCAGCTGCATTGCTGTGTGGCTGAGTAGTTGTGTTATCATGATATTCTGCCGTTGTGTTGTTGTATTGTTTTCGTGCGACAGGTTCCTCCAGGTTTAGCTTGTCACGCCTGTCGTTCTTCGGTAAAGCCCTGCAGAACACTTGCAAGGCGCTTTCCCATGTCTACACGGCGTGCTGAACTGTTGAAACTAGACTAACTACTGCAAGCAAAAGTCTTGGAACAAGCATTATCAAAGACGCAAGGGCTTCTCCAAAAACCGGGGCTCGTCACGAACGAGGTAACACACTGTTTGGACACGGCCATACCCAAATGGCTGCAGGGGGATTTACGAGGCAAAAGCCTGAAGCTGTGCTTGAGCTGTCAAATTCGGACTCCAAAAACATGGGGGGAAACAAGCTTACAGTGCATGAAACACCCGACAACGGTTTGCAGACAATGTCGACACATCGGAGGAGTGGAAGCCATGACTATTGTTGGTCAGCTGAACTCAGTAGTTTCTATTTGATGTTCCAATACAATAATGGAAAAGCAAAAGGAAACTACGGCAGTTTCCATTTGATTTTCCATTGCTATACTGTTTCAGGCCAGGGGCCCTGATTGCAGGACCGAAACGACCAGAAATCCCATCGAGAAGTGGAATGATGCTTTCATGAGAATTATAGTACTACATAGTCTATAATAATCCTATAGTGCTACGGCTTATAATAATTATACAAAGTATAATTCTATATCCCAGCGGCTGCAGAAGTGCTGGTTCGTGAACCGAGCCGTCGCAGGAGTATTCCTTTGCTGTGCATCTCTTGGGATGCAGGGATCAGGGGCTTCCTCTGAGCGGC